AATACAAATACAAATACAAATACAAATACAAATACAAATACAAATACAAATACAGATACAGATACAGATACAGATACAGATACAGATACAGATACAGATACAGATACAGATACAGATACAGATACAGATACAGATACAGATACAGATACACACTGCATTCTTCGACTGGCAAGAAAGTTGACAGGAAGAAAATCAATTTGTTAATCTAGTAGAGGAATCGCTGGCAGAGGGACATGCTTATAGTCTTGTCTCCCGCTCCACTGACTGACAAAAACTATTTGCAAGGATAACAAGCAGGTGACTGTCGTCCTGTTGTCTTGTTGTTCCGTTGTCCTGCTGTTCGCTGTCCGTTGGGTGTTGCAGCAAAATGACTTTTCTTGTTGCTTGCCAAATGATCAAAGCATTTTATGCGCTTAAACTCGTTCGAGCAGCCCCGCCCACGCCGCCCACTCCGCTGGGGCTGGCTGTTTTTGTGCTGCATGCAGCAGTGGCAGTTTCCGTTTCCGTTCGGCTGCCACTTGACTTCCGTGGCGCCTCTCATGGTCTCATGTTTTGCATGTCGTCACGCGCTCGTCCTGCACTTTAGCTGCACTTATCTTGGCCCAGTTGGCAATTGTTGTTGGCTATTTTGTAGCCGTTTTGTCGAAAATGTCAACAAAATGCGAACGCAGACACACATTAGCCATAGATATCCGTCTGTGTTTATGTGTGTGCGTGTGTGTATCTGTTTCTGTTTTTTATGTGCGCTTGCCACATCATCAATTACACATTTTACAACTTCTGACTGACTGTCTGGCTGGCTGTGGGGAGCGGGCGACTAGGCAAGGACGTGCTGGAGCCACTGACAGACATAAATCAAACATTTCCCACGTTGCGAAACAATTTCCGGCTGCACGAAAACTCAAGACTGTGTGTGCGAGCGAGCGAGCGAGTGTGTATGTGTGTCTCTGTGTGTGTGTGTGTGCCTGTCTATCTTTTGCTTGAATTTTATTTATGGCATCCGCCAAAACAGAAACACATATAGATACGCTGTGAGAGACAGACACATGATATATAGACAAAATGACTTCAGTTAGAAAATTTACAATTGCTTTTACTTGATAAATAATTGTTACTGTTGTTGTTGTTATTATTCTAATTGTCGTTGTTGTTGTTGTTGTTGTTGCTGTTTTGGCGCTTTTGTATTGCAGTTTGATTTGTGGTTTACAAGCTTTTGTCTGGCTCATAAATTTAGCTTATAGATTGTGGCTATTTTTGCATATGTGTGTGTGTGTGTGTGTGTGTGGCTGTGTGTGTGCAGCTGTTTGGCTTAATGGTCACTGATATGGGGTCAACAAAGAAAAATATATTGCACTGCTTATTGAAATATGAAAGGATACATAAAATGGGGTTTTACGCTGCGTATGTGTAATATGCAACGTACCAGAGAAACGAACCACGTCGCGTATACGTAACATGCAATGTAATTAAATCGAATTTAATTGCAATTTGTTATATTTTGATCAAATTGAATTTACCATTTGGCAGTATGGCTGCCATTTGTCACAGACACAGCAGAAACTTTGACCAAGCTGAAGTTGTGGCTTATGGAATGCCGCATGCCTCTTTCCTCGTTGCAGCACGCCGCACACTTGACCCTTAGTACGAAGCCACCTTTTGAGGATTGCCAATTTACGCTTTATAGACGAGTCTCGTTCGGGCCATTTGCGACAGCTACGCAGGCAGTCAGGCGGTGAGGGGGTGAGGCCGGCGAAGGGTAACCCAGAACCGATTCAATCAAGCCCAACCGAGGCGCTCACAGCTCACAGCTGCTGCTAATATTGTAGAATTGTGGCTAAGCTGGAGGTGAGCATATTGGTAGCCAAGTTACCCTGTTTATTTGCTATAACATGGGCATAAACTGTATGCACATGAGGCCTAAAGAGCAACGAATGAATGCTGCTTAAGTGCAAGGCTTTTAAGGCAGGCAACACCAGCTATCTGCATACCCTGCATATACTTCAGAGCGGTCTTATTTAAGCTTCTCATTCAAACTATATACCTACAACTATTTAAAATGTATATTTAAATTCCTATGAAACCTATAAAATCGAACTATCATATAATCATCTATTCATAAAGAATTTAAATGAAATTAGCTGCAAATTTTGGGCCCTAGGACAGATTTTATTTATATCAATTTTTAAAAATTTCTAGATAAATTTAATCTAAATTCTCCAGCCACTTTTTGATCTGCCCTTTACAGGGTATTTAATTGCTGCCATTTGTTTTGTTCATTATTTTCATTATTGGTCACATTTTATGATTGTTCTCTTTCTGTAGTCGCACACTCAACCTCAATGCCGACTCGACTGGCATTTGTGGCATGCAACATAATTTAATATGCCCTTTACTCGGCTTCAGCTCTCAGTTTTATGTGCGACGAGTACCTTGACGCCCTGGCTATAGCTCTGGCCCTGGCTCTGACTCTAGCCCTGGCTATGGCCTTGGCTCTGGCTGTGGCTGTGGCTATGGCTCTGCCATTTCTTATTGTGCCGCTTTATGTGTTTATTTGGCTTGAAAGGGTTTTCCGTCGCAGTCGCCCTAGACTACCTCTCTCTTTCTTTCCTGCCGCTGAGCGCTTAAATTATTTATTTGACGTATTTTGGGACAGGCTTTGAGTAATATTATTATGATTTTTGTGCCCCAGCATATGGCATATGCCGCCAAGGGTCTAACACATAAATTATGAGCGCTCCGGCTGACCCCTGAATCCAATCAGAATGTCAGCAAAATATTCACAAAAAAAGAATGTTCCCAAAACTGTTTTCCCGATTAATAAAAGTTGGCTTTGTATTAGTGAAAGACAACTGAAGTGGTGGAGATATTTAGGCGAAATTTCGTCTTGGAATTTCTCATAAGAATCTAAACTTATATATTCAGAAAATCAAATGAAATTGAAAATATTTTGTTGTATTTCATTCATTTTTCTCGCAAATCTCAAAACTCGGACCAAATCAAATGCTGGAATGTCTGGCCAGAAAAGGAAAAAACTAGTCTCACCCAGACCTACTTCATATGTCTTTTGCTGACAAACAATTTAATTATTCATTGACCTCATTATTTACACATGTTGCCAATTAAAGTGACGGCAACAACAACAACCAAATTGAATCGATATCATAAACTATCAATAAATTATGCATTTAACAATATTAAGTGTAGGCCACTTGAATAAATGTTCATGAATAAATTTATAAATAAGCCAAAAGGAAAAGAATTTGTCATAGCTGAAGGCAAACCAAAAACGAGGTTGATTGCTTTTGTGAAGCGCATAGAGAGGCAGTTGAAGCGAGAGCGGCAATTCGTTTATGTGTGGCAAACAAATTTCTGGCAGTTGCAAGTTGATTTTCTCAAAATTTATTTGCCAACTAAGGCGGAAGGACAATTCATTATGACAAAATTTAACATAACTGAATGTAAAGGCAGATAGGGAAAGGTTTATATAGTGTGTGTGCACTGAGTAACCTCTCTCTATCTCTGTCGCTCTCGCTCTTTTTATTTGCATTTTTGTGTCTGCTGACTGCTCTTAAGGCACCCCAGCCTAAGCGGAGGACATGCGTCTCAGCATCTCCAATGCAGGACCTAATGTTTATTTTAATTGCCAGCAAGGACAGGCCCCAAGGTTAACAGTAACTAGAAGTAACCAGAGCACCTCGACTTGCCTGCATCTGGTAAATTAAGGGCAGAGAGACAGAGACAGATAGACAAAGAGAAAGGGAACGAACGGGAGATGTGTGTGTCGCATAAATTAGCAGCTAGTCGCAATTGCGTATGCAAATTAAATTTTATATGCCACAGCGAATGACATTTAAATCATAATTTAAATCCATTCGTTATTTATTGCAACTGACCTCTCCCATATTATATTTGCTGCATAATGCATGTGCTCGAGTGGAGTATTTGCTATATTAAATTAGTTGAAAAGCAAAATCATGTTAGAGAGAGCAAAATGTGTTGAAGAATTTTCATATAAATTCAATTTAATATAGTGAGAAATTTTGGTATACACAGGAATTACCAAAATGTACTTACATTAAATTCTAATGATAAAACTAATATTTCCACTACAAAAACAATATTTGAAAATATTGATATAATTTAAAATGTGTAATGGTATTTATAATTTTTTTAATTTTAGATTCTTTTTCAATAAAATATTGCTTTTATTTTTGAATAATTTTTTGTATATTTATTTTGTTATATAATACTAATAAAATCAATAATACATTAAATTAGTTTTTTTTAAATTAAACAATTTATGGTATATACTAAATATTTAGAGAACCAATCTGAAATTGCTTTGAGGCATAAACATAAATTCATCTCGGGCAATATAATCACCACACATTGCCTTCAAATGCATTCACATGCTCGCATTCCTAATCATTTATTCACAATTAAAGAAAATTAACCTAAACTCAACCAATACCTAGCCTAAGCTTAGCTCTAAGTATATTTTGCTGGCAAGGACTTAATTAATTTGCTGAGCGATGGACATGAGGCTAACTGTCAAATGCAGTGCACAAAATAAACTGCAAGGACAGCCTCGGCTAGCTAGCTAGCTGCAAGGATAATGGAAAGTGACAAACGAAATAACAGGCCAATAGCCAGAGACTGTGAGCGCTCGACAGCAGCAGGAACTGCGACTGCTGCTAATAGATTTATGGCTCGCAACATGGAAAACTGTTGAGCAAACATAAAATATTATAAAGCTCGGGTAATTTCCGTTCACTATGATGAAATAGAGAGAGAGAGAGAGAGATAGACTGTGTTGGAGGCCTCAAAATGTCCATCAAAACGTCAGCAGGCATAACTGTGGCAAAAACTGATAAGATATGAAAAGCAATTTACGTAAACTGTCAACGACAAATTCCCTTTGGCAGAGAACGGCAGCAGAGTGGGGGCGGGGGCGGGGGCGTGGTCATCGAGGGCATGCCGAAGCAGTGGAATTAAATTATCAAGCTCGTATCATATGCGTTCTATAACATATTTATTTGTGTGGGTATTTGGCATATAATCGGCGTGTCACTCATAGGTTCCGCTGGCTGTCGCTGCCTTTGAGCGGCGACTGACTAATGGATGCGCCGTATGATGTGATCGAAGAACATGCAGTCCCCATAGATGCTCGACCTGTAGACATTGCGGATGGCGTTGCGACTGTCGCTGCAGTTGCAGCCGGCATTCACGCAGACTACCTTGAGATCGCCGCGATGCATCATCAGGAGGCTGTGGGCCCCGTTCGGGATGACGCGAAAGTTGGCGCTGTCGTTGAAGCGCACCTTGTTCGAGTACCAGTCGAAGTAGCTCAGGTCGTGGGGCCCTGGCACCAGCTTCGCCTTGCCCTCGAATATGGCTTGCCAGTTGACATAGTGCTCGGAGTTCCTGCAGCTCGACTCGCGCAGGCTCTGCTCCAGGTCGATGTAGCCCGAGATGTCGAAGCCCTTCTGCGAGCGCATTATCAGGAAGACAATGGTCTGCGAATGTCAATTGAATACGATCTATACAAACTATTTTGAGAGATTCATTGAGCTTAACTACTTCAACTCACCGCAATCTGTTTATTGATCAGCTTCAGTTCGCGTAGGGCGAACTGCTTCAACACTTCATCGTCGCCCTTGTAGCTGGCGCCGAAGAGCACGGAGCCGCCCTTGCCGCGGGGATTCCACATGAATTCGAGCTTCTTGCGCTGCTCGGCGAACTCGGAACGGCTCAGCAGGGGACCCATGCAGCTCTTGCCACAGGCAGTCTGAATGAATTGCCTGCTGACGTTCCAGTTGCGTATATAGCGAACATCGTTGATGTCGATGAAGTGGTCCAGGTACTCCTCGTACGAGCCATAGTTCAGCAGTGTCATCTTCTCGAACTCTGCCCGACCTCCGGCTAAATTAATCAATGAGCAACAAGCGAAAAGAACAAAAAGCAAAATATGAAAATTATGAAAAGCTCAACTCAAAAGCCAAAATATAATATTCCCCAAAAGCTGACAGCAAAATCATTGCTGAAAGGCAAACTTTCCATACGATATTGTGTATACCGCATATAAAAATAATTAAATGCACACACACTTACATACACTCTCAGTGATTCGCTCGTGATGCAAATTTAATAAATGGAAAAAGTTTACAATGCCTCGCCAAAAGTTCTGCATATTTTCAATTACAGTTTTCTATGTGCGACGCAGACTGACGACAGCTCTCTCTCTCTCTCTCCATCTCTCTCACACACACATACATATTTAAACACGCATTTTGCCTGCCCATATGCAACTAATTACTTCATCAACATTTAAAGCCGTGCGGCATATGCAATTTTTCATTTTCTTTTCTTTGCAGTTAACAACTTTTCACTATATTATTCAGTTTCGCTAAAAGGTATTAATGGGTATGTACAAAGCTGCAAGGTGTCAAAAGAGTATGTAAATCAAATACTTTAAGGTTCTTTAGGGAAAAGGGTAACTGGAGCGTACTAAAAAATAAGCTCTAAGAACTAGTGACTATATAGAAAACTAAATTTATACAATAATATCGATATTCGCATTTATAAGTCATTAAAGTTTCCCCTTTTTTTAGATTGCAGGGTATACAAATATGGGCTTTCGCACTTCTCTATCGTATTGCATAAAATTGTATGTTATTTACAGGGTATGGAAAGTGCCAACCTCATACTCCCGCGTCTCTTTTTATACGGCATTTCTCTCTCTATTTACAACAGCAAACTTTTAATAAAATCAGTTATTGCTACTGCATATTTTCAAGTATTTTACAGGGTATATATCAACAGCGCCCTTTTATTTACTGACTATTAAAAATTCTAGATTTTTAGAAGATATTTAAAGGTCTATTTCCATTAACAGTCTACAGACTGCTGGTAGTCTGACATTTTCTGAAAGTTTTCCTAATCTACAGGGTATCTCGATTGCAAGTTCCTGCAATACAAAGTCTTTTAACAATAATTAAATATTTTCAATGCTTACAATTGTGAGTTGATCGCACCTTGTGCCTTTTACAGGGTATCTAAAGTGCCATTAACTCGTAATATTCCACGTTGTTGCCTTCTTACTTATTTTCAATTTTAATACAATAAAAAGAATATAGTAGAATGCAAGCTGGAAGTGTACATGTGTAGTGTGTAGGTGTGTGCGCCTGTGTGTGTGTGTTTGTGTGAGTGAGCATTCACGCTATTTAAACACGATTCCCACTGTTTGCTGCAGTTGTTGCTGCTGTCGCTGCTGCAATTAACATGCTGCTGCTGTTGCTTGTGCTGCTGCGACAGTTGCTCCTGCTCCTGCTCCTCCTGCTGCTCCTGCTGCCAACACTTGAAGCTAAATCTAGCAGCAACCATGACGATGTCGCCGACTCCTGCTGCTGCTGCGTGCTTTGTCACCATCTTGCAGTTGGCCGCCGCCTGCTTTAGCGCGTAAATTGCTACTTCGCGGGGGCAGCAAGCCTCGTCTCCTCTCTCAACTCGTCTGCCCTCCCCTCCCTTCCTCCCTCCGCTATTCTTCTTCTACTTCCAGCTGCACAATTTTCACTTCAGAGGGAAGTTGGCTCGGTGAGGCGACGCCATTGTTTGACTTGGTCATTAGTAAATGTACTTTGTCGTAGCGTAAAAAGGAGTTAAGTGCGCACTCTAAGGATTTATGCGAGTCTCAGCTTATGCGAGTGTGTGTGTGTGTGTCTGTGTGTGTGTGTTGGCTACTAGCATGGGGCAGCATTAAATGCCACAATGCTCAGCAGCAGTTGCCATCAGAATGCGTTAAGTGCGCATTTCTCTTGAATGGACACAAAGGACGTTTGGCAATTCAAAGGGTTGTGATTCAGATTGAGCTACAGTTATGCATATTTATGGTCATAATAGACTCTAATAATAGACTCTGAATGCAATCACAGCATCTAAGACTATTTATACAGCTCTATTTGCCAATGCCTAAGACAGAGTAAATATTGATTGAGCTATGCATGAAATGAGAGTAACTTGGCTATGCTATGCACTATATTCGCATGAAAAATCCTTATATATTCCTTGGCATATTCCTTATTAAAATGCATTCCAACAATCCATTTATAAATGTTTAGCAAATTTATCAGAATTTTTTACATATTTGACTAGAAATTGTGGCATGACAGGTGAAGTATAACATAGAATGTAGAGTATAAAATAATATATATACTATCACAGTATTTCAATTGAGAATATATTTTTTTTTCTTTTATCCCATTTTTAGATAACTTTTTAATTATAAAGTGGCATTAAATATTTGTATTTACCACACTATGAATTTAATATTTTTTAATTTTTAAAATATTCTCTTGATGCCACAAAAATACCTTGTTAAACATCGCCTGGCTCTATCTCACGAATTTTCACCAGCTTTAAGACCCAACTATGCTAAGCACTTGGTCTGATAATAACTTGAGTATCCTCTGCTCGATTTCACACTAAAATATTATTTTTAATTCATGGTATTCTATAGAGTTCAGCCAAATGTTAACAGGCCAGTTCCAATCTTCATAGGCGATGAATGTCGCCTAAACTTGTTGAGAATTAACCACAACCACACGAGCTAAAGTCATTGTCACACGGAGCCAGACTAGTTGTGCAGCCGTTCCCCTACCCCCTCCCCCGCCAACCCATTTCGATTTCCGTTTGGTTTTGAGCAGCACAAATTATCGAATTGCTGTCGTAAATTGCACAGAGAACGTCGCTCGGCTGCTTACTTGCCGTACATCTTTGCCAATGAAATCAAAGCCACATAAATTGCACAAATAATTCAGCACTGAGAGCCTGCTCGCTCTCCGAGCAGCTGCCCTCACGATTGCAGCGAACGGCGAGTGCAGCTGAAGACAGAGGCAAAGCCAAAAGAATCGTCACTTGCAGCTGACCGCAATGCTAGCCAATCCAGGGAGAGGGAAAGAGAGAGAGAGGGAGATAGATTGAGAGTTAGAGTGGAGCACTGTGTCTGCTGGCCGCAATCGATCAAAAGGAATTATGTCTCAACACAATTGTAAATAAATCTTTGCGGTCATGTGGACATTATGTGCATGTGGAGGCCAAAAGGCTTGGCCATATCCTAGTTCCAACCACAGAGACCACTCACACACACACACACATACATAGCTAGAGGCATGTGGCTAAGCCCTGCATATCACATATATGAAGATTGAGTGGTAATGTGTGCAAATCTAACCTATCCAAGCTGAGCTCCTGCTCCTACTCCGACTCCCACTCCCACTCCCACTCCCTCTGCCGACTAGCTGCTTCGATGTGCTTGTGCTTGGCCGTTGACATGTTGGTAAATTGGTCCTTAGCCGATTGCATCGATTGCTGTTACATCGCCGACAACGAGTCTATGCTCACATTTGGCTCCCAGTCCCGCCGCTTGTCCCATCCGCTGCTCAACATTTTGCCAACTTGGGAATTAAGTCTAAATGCCGGAAATTAATCTGCTCGCCGACTACAAATGCAATATTATTCAATGTGATTTTACAAGTGTCCTTGTCATTAGGAAATTGCCTCGACTCGCCTCGCCTCGCCTTGCCTTGCCTTATGCCTAGTCTATGCCTATCCCGGTCCTTTGCTCTCGTCCTAATGGCCCTGCGGCACATTCAGGCCTGGCTGGCGTCCAGAGTGCAACATTTATAATGCGCATCGATAATGATTTGTTATTTAAAGCTCAAACAAATATCCGGCAATTTGAGCGTACGGCTGCATGGAAAACCCAAGGAAATACAATTCGGAAAATAAAAAAGAAAATCTCACTCAAAGTTCTCGCCGCTGTTGTTTGCTTATCACGTGGCACGCGAAAAACCACAAGAAACTTATCGGCATATAATCAAGAGACGGCGACGACGACGACGGCAACGTTGCTGGATTTGAGTTTGAGAATGTGAATCATTGCCCAAGTTCCTTTTTATTTCCATCTCATTTTTTTGTTCGTTGTACATTAATTTGTTTCTGCGGAGAAATGCCTGGGGCTTTGTGCAATCAGCTCGAGGATGTGCCGCGGCCAGCTGTCTTGGCAACAAAGCCTTTTGATGCTGTCGGGGGAAATTCGGGAAATTCGATAGCAGGAAATGAATCGGTCGACAGCGCGGCGTATGTGCAACGCGTGGCAGCAGTCGCAATAGCCGCAGCCACACCAGCGCCACCAAACCAAGATAAGTGAACAGCCATTTAGTCCTTTGGGACATGCCAGCAGGAGTAGCACGACCAGCAGGAGCAGCAGCAGCAGCAGAAACAGYAGACGAAGCAGCAGTCGCTGTAACAGATACCAGATAACAGCGAGTTCTCACATTCACTTTCAAACAGTTTTCAACAAACATTATCCATCTTCTTCCTCTTTTTTTTTAGAAAACTTTCAGGGAAATAATACCAAATGCATGAAAAATAATATTTGTAAATCACATACAAATGTGAGAATACAATATAAACCACATTATACATTATTTATTTATTTAAATTTTTAGTCAACCAAATTTTTATATTTTATTTTTATCTTTTTAAAAATTGATTGCAAACGATTTTAGGAACAGCCCAAAAAATCATTGCTGTTAATTCGAAGAGGAATGGCAAATTCGGCACGTTTATCTCATTCGATGTCTAAAGCAAACGAATTTAATGAACGCTGACATAAGGCGGATTTATTTATGACATTGGAAATTTAGAGGTTCTCTGTGGATATAAAATTTATTTTTATTTTTTTTAATTTGGAGTGTAGGCAAGAGTACACCCAGTAATAGAAGACAGTTGAGATAGATATAGTCGATTACTGTAATTTATTTATTATTATTATTTCCTATATTCATTCTTATTAGATTATATTTATTATATTAT